TTCCCATACTGATGCTCGGTTTGAACTGCAGGAGATTGTCTTGACCATGTCTACATGCCTAAATGCACTGAGTTGCCGCCAGTGTTAACGAGCAGTTGGACAGGTGTACCTAATAAAGTGGCCGGTGAGTGTATTTAATACAATTAGTTTTGTGTCCGTAGTGTAAATGTTGATTTATTTTACGGTTCATAAAACTATTGGCGCTGCAACGTCTTGACTCTGTAACTCATGACTGACATCACTATCGGTCTGACGAGGAAGATGCTTTGTTTGTTCTCTTCAGTAACTGTTAGCTTATTTATTAGCTCGAGTTGTTTGTGATGAAACATTGTGTTTTGTAATATTTCATTTATATTTATTTTTGGTCCCTTTTGCATATTCACCAGATGAAGTGGAGAAGTTAGTTTTAAGTTGGATATTAGATAGACTCGTGGTTTACTACTGTTGCTGATGGTGCTGTGACAGAGATGGCGAGTTAAAAATTAAACTATCCTAAGGCAATAAAGGTGACCGAGGTGAATTTGGCTTCAAGTTATATTACTAGAAATTGTTTCAAATCATTTTAGCTGTCAAAATCCCAACACTAACAACAGTTTGTCTCTGTTTTCTCTCAACTCTGGATGCCTATTACAACTTTTTTGTTGACAGTGTTGATACAGTTGAGGCCAGCAGTGAACAGTTCATCCTGTGCAATGTCAGATCAAGTAACCCCCAATTTACACTACTTGCGTTCCGGCTCCGCTCCGCTCCGGTCCGACCTCCGCAGCAAATACGCACCCATTATGATCAATGAGAGTGGTTACACTGGCTGCYCATGGCGACAGTGAGCGGACGGCGATCCATCAAAATTAGAACAGATTCTATTTTTGCCGGATGCCAGAGCAGTGCCAGAGTCAATTTTTAAAGATTACGTCGCACCAACAGGAAAATAAATGAGCACAACATCCGTATTTTCAAAATAAGACACTTTTAGGCTGGATAATTTGTCAGAATAATTTCAAAATTGCAGCTATATTATTAAATATACGGATATATTTCTACACAAATGCTGTCAGAATGTATCGTTCTGTTTGGGAAGCAGATAGAAACACGTAGCATGAAGCACATGTGTACACATACAATACACATGGATTTTATTCTGAAATCAGAAGTTTCAGAAAGCTGACAGCGAGACAGTTTCAACATAGATACCAAAAGCCTTTATATCATTGTTTTCAGCTGTGTTTGGAGTTCGTCTTTCACAGAATAAATTATTTTTTACTGTGACTTCCACACTTATCACTGAATTTATCGCGCAATCCCCTTCCTGCACGTCTGTTGGACCGGAGCGGAGGTAGTGTAAACTGAACTTGAAATGCACAGCTGCGACCTGCACAGCTGCGACCTGCGCAGCGCAGCGGTGCCATAACGCACGTAATGTAAATTAGGGGTAAGTCTCACACCACTCTTAACTTCTCAAGAATGTTGATTTATTTTAGAATAAATTTAGGTACTGATTACATTTAGTGTTTGTGTAACACCCGAGTTAACAAACTTGTTACAATTGTATACTAGTTTTGACAAGACTTAAGTTTGACTTAAATTTGTCCTGATTTATGTCTTTAAAGTGCACCCAAGCATAGTTTTTAATGTATTTTCTTGTCAACAGGAAATTCTCAGACAAGAAATGGCATTTCACAACAACCTCTGGACCTGGACTTTTTATTATTTACCTGCAGACGAGAGCTGTACCTCTGGGAAGCACTGTCGAGGCATATAAATATCCAATCAGAGATTGGATATTACAAGACTTTCTCACACTGGTGATGGACCACATTGACCATGCTAATGTTACACTGACCACAGTTGAAACTGTAACTGGGGCAAGGGGGCGTCCCATGTTTTTAATAGAAAAAGAGAGACTAGTTGAGCTTCTTGAATTAAATTTGCCAGTGAATAGCATTGCAAAATTACTGGGAATTTCAGCCAGAACAATTCATCAACGGATAGCAGTATTTGGTCTGTCTGTTAGCCAGAATTACAGCAATCTTACAGATGAAGAGCTGGATAATGCAGTCCAGCACATACATAATGAAATACCAAGAGCAGGCTATCGGATGGTGAAAGGAAGGCTGAGGTCGATGGGTTTCAATGTCAAGTGGAGAAGACTCACAGCATCAATGCATTGTGTGGATGCACTGGGAATTCTTTCCAAACTGACTCGACTTGGCTACATTGTGAGGAGAACTTATTCTGTCAGAGGACCCCTTTCACTGTGGCATGTGGACACTAAGCATAAATTGATAAGGTCTATGCTACTACTAATTGTATTAAAAGTTTAATGCTGTGACGGTACAGCTATAAAAAATTGAAAAGTGTGTTGCCTTGATTTAAATAAAACTTACTGAGATTTACTAATGCCACCAGGTACAACATTGTCCTTTTTGGTGCAGTCGATGGCTTTTCCAAGAAGGTAAGATTTAACCTAGTTTTTCACAACTCTTTGTAAGACTGTATGATACAAATGTTTTACTATTATGTAGGTGATGTGTTTGGAGGCTGCTACAAACAACCTGGCATCAACAGCTTTTGCAGCATTCAAAAAAGCAACAGAGATACACGGCATACCTTCAAGGTAAATTTTGCAATGTGCAGACAAAAAATGTTTTGTTTATCACAAGATTTATTTTGTTCCCATTTGGAAATGGATATGCTGATGCTCGAAGGTGTATATTGCATTTTCTGTATTTCGACCGACTGATTTGAATAACTCTGTCATCTCTTTGTGACATACAGGGTGAGAGGTGATCAGGGAGTAGAGAACGTGAACATAGCCAGATACATGTTCACCATTCGTGGAACTGACTGAGGGAGCTTCATGTCGGGAAAAAGTGTCCATAATCGATGGTTTTTTATTAATCAATTTAGCAACTGTCACTAACAGTAGTTACATCAATTGAAAAAAATTACATAGTTACTGTATGTCTCCAAGTTCTTGATTTGCTTTTCATTTTATTTTATTTTCTGTGTCCTCAGAATCTAGCGTTTGTGGCGGGATGTCAGGACATGAGTGACGTCAAAGTATTACAATAAACTCAATCTACTGGAGATGGACCACCTACTTGATGTGTCCTCCTGTGGTAAGGCACAACCCTGTTAGTTCTGTGGCGCAAACAAGAAAGGTAGCACTCTTCAGTCAGTTTCAGAACTTATAGATTAAATGGGAAGCACCTAAAGAAATATTTAATAATGGCTAATTTCATAGGCATCATTTAAAAAGTTTAAGGTCTTATGGAAATCATGAATAATTTATTCTCAACTTTGCAAACTTTTTCCTTTAAAGAAGATTTGTTTGCAGTCCACCTGACATTTCTTACCAGATTTCAGAATGACCTGGCTGCTTTTGTGGAAGMTTGGAACCACCACCCACTCAGAAATTAAGGGAACTGAACTCCTGAGCAGCTCTGGCAAACAGGAATGATGCTTCAACCCATCAACCAGCCAGAGGATCTTGAGGTTGTTATCAAACCTTTTTTGTTTTAAGAAATATTGATACTGTGTTTGTTAAAAATAAGCTAAAAGTACAATAACTACTTTCAGGATATCCAGGAGCTGGATATTGACTAYGATGTTGCAGCTGATTTTGGAGATGATGTGCATGGAGCTGTGGTGGTCCCTGAATTTGACTGCCCAATAACTGAAGACCAGTTGGTAGAATGTCAGAATCTCATCACTGACAACCAAGATCTGGACAGCAGGAGCTTGTACCTCATGTGTTGTCAATATCTGGCTAATGTGTTTGGTAACTGACTAAATGTACCGGTAGATTTAAATCTTTGGCACAGAGTAACTGCTTGTAATGCTTTGTACTCAAAACCCACATGTAGTTCTTTTGTCAACACACCCTTTCATGTGGTCAGTAATTTTATAAAAGGTAACTTTTGAATACCCAGACACTTCTGATTGTAAGTTAAGTTAATGTAAGAACTAGGTACAAGTTGTATGTCAAACAATAAAACAGGAGAGCAAATCCTTGAAAACTGTTTATTTTTAGAAATAGTTAAAAGTATTTTCCACCATTTTGAAACAAAACAGCCAGCTTTAGCTGCAGAACAATACATCACTCAACTTGTGTTTTGAGTTGTAATTTAGTATCTGCTAAATTCATAACCAAACTCCAGTGCAGTGCTTAGGTTCTTCTCAAAGTCACTGTATGTTTCTGTGTGGAGGATGGGAAATGTGACACTAACCCCACAGGCATTGACAACTGGGTAACACACAACATGTTCCCCATAGAGGCAGRTGCAGTTATGCTCAAAATTGACYGTGATTTTGAACATGCTTCACTGAGACTCTATCAGTGGTWCYTGAGCATGACCTGTGACCCACTGAAAGAACTTCTGGAGTGAAAGACGTTGGCTTCCCTTGCCAGTGGTTTCTGCTGTGCCAGCCATTTCTTCTCCACTTSCAACAAGTTTCTCTTCATGGTCTGCATCTAGTCAGAGACAAAACATGATAGTTTTTCAATAAAACTTGTCATACTAATAGCAGTCACCGAACTAAAAATATCCAAATTGGAAATTAAAGTCAAAAATTTTCAGCCCAGCAGGGAACGGGGATATCAGATAAGACCCATTATTTTGTGCCCTGTAGCCTACCTTCATCAGATGTACCTAGAGGAATTCACTAGAGCTGGCAGGCTCACCATACATTCTCTCTACAGGCTGAGAACCAAACCACTTGTACAGGCTCCTCAGAGTCAAAGCTGTATGACTATTCTTHCATTTCTGAATTTAATTAATGGAAGTGTAAGACTTCCATCACTCTGTATTCATTCTGTTAACATTTAAAGTTGGAGTTGGTAACTTTTCTAAAACCTGTATTTTGTATATATTTTTATGTCCTGACATATAGATATTAGACCAATAATCTGAAAAAAATAACACTCCTCTGGCTCCCCCCAGTGACGCTACAGCCCTTTGCAGAAATACACKGCTRCTGGTCAGAAACAGCCAATCAGAGACAGGAGGAATATCTTACTAGTGTCAGTCACGCTGGCTATGTCACGCACAGCATGTGCCATCGTTAAAGCTCAAGACTACGGCTGCATCTAAATTCATGGGCTGGGTCCTCATGAGGATCTAGCCTAGCTGGGCCACGTCCTCGCTGGGCCGGGTAGGCTGCTCAAAACTGCTGTGAAATGAGATGGTCTACCCTTCGCCTGATGTCGGCTTCACGTGGGTTTCGGTGACCACGTGCTCCCCTGTTACCATAGTGATCAGTTTCATGTCGGACTTAAAAAGCGTCGGGACGTGTATTTACACATCTTTTTACTGGAAGAATAGCTTCACAGTTAAAAAGTTAAACGTAAATAAAAAAAGAAAACATTAATAATTTGGGTTTAACTCCCACATCCCACATCTACAACGGAGTATTAGGGCCACAC